TTTGTTTTGATGCTGGAAAATTCTTTGTCTGAGGCAGAGCAATGTGTCAGGAATGTTTGTTCAATGGCTATGCTAATTAGCGAGGCTCCAGGGACAATAGATCTCTAAATGCCAAAGACACACCTGGGGAATGAATCTGGATGCCTGCTGACAGCCAGAATAATGATTGCTAGCTTAAGACACAAGGATCGGTCAATGGACCATGTGACCTGCAGTGACCTGTTCTGGCCAGGAAGATGCCAGGAGAGGTATATAAGTTCCATGTGGCACCCTCCATCTTGTCTTGAGTTCAGCTCCTGATCCCAGATGCAGCCTTGCAGGGAACAACGAGCCAGGAAGAACCGTGGACTCATGTACACCAGAGACTTTTAAGATAGCAGTTTATAACATCTCTGCTAAGAGCCTGTATTGAGAACTGGGTGATTTGATGCATGTAACGTATTCTCCTTTAACAACCGTACTCTCATGCTTTTCTTTCTTTTAGTAATAAACATTTAAATTTTAGATTCGGTAAGATCCAGAGTGTCAATTAACTGGCATCTGTGGCTGGTTTCTTGGGACCGGAGGAACCCATTTGGGGAAGGTGAGATTGGGTTCTATAACCCCTCACCTGTGTGCTAAGCCCGGGGCTGATTGGGGCACAGGGAGCGCTGGAGTGTCAGAGGGGTTTTGCTCATGAGGCTTCTGGCTGGCCAGATTGGAAGCTGAAGCACTGTGTGACTGGTTTGTGGCCTGTTTGGGAAGGTCTCCAGTCTGGGGCTGTGAGGAGCCCCGAGTGTGAGCAATTCACCCTGAGTGGACACCATCAGCTGTGCCCAGACCCGGCCTGGTACATCACATCTTGAGTCCCTACCCCCAGCCAGAGTGAGAAATACAGCAACAATGTGCACTTTCCCCTGGCTCCCTGACATAAGGAAACAGCCAACAATGTTCCTGGACAAATCCGGGGTAGGAGAGAGCTTCAGCCATCACCCCTCACCATGTGTAAAGGGCACCCAAGGAGTGGAAGTCTTGGGGACGGAACAGTCCTGGACGGGGGTGCCCCTAGCTAACCCCTTTCACCTGCTTGGTGAGTCTGTTTCTTTTCTGTATGGTTTTATAAGAGGAAATCCCATTCTAGCCACATCCCGTTTTCCTGGCACAACCATATACTTACCTTGCTTTAGGTTATGATAAGAGGAAGCTGTATACCAAAACTTGGTGGTCCTAGCGCTTAGCGTTTAGAAAGAGTCCTTGAAAACACAAACTCCCTCAAATATATAGTAGATAATAATGTTATAATATAGTACTGATCACATGCAAACTACACCCACTTCATCTCCCAGCTAGTGAAACTAAGGGGTTGCCTCAATGGTCTCCAGGAAGACTGTTAATGATTCTTCCAGAGGAAAAGGTGTCAGCAGCTCGGAGGAAAACTTTAGCCAGACCACGGTTGAAAACACCTGTTCTGGACAGAAGCATCCTGGCCAACTACTGGCCAAATGACATAACTTCTGGGAAAGATAAATGATAAGGACTTAGCATCCTCACATAGGTTCAGCTTCACCCACCTGGACACCTACTGTAAGGTTTCAGGCCATGTCATGACACAGAAACAATGTTAATTGTAGTGGTCAGAGATCTCCTTAGGCCAATGAACAGATACCAGATATCTGATTACTCAAAATTTTGGTGACCTTTGACATTGCTGCACATGTGAAATTACTAACATAACTGCATGATTTGGTTTAGAGATAGATGGAATTGTCTTAGAACCACTCACTCCTTTCTGATTATTCCCAGATAGTGGTGGATGATTTTTTGTCTCCCAGCTGTAAAATCCTTGCCAGCCTCAATACTAATAAACTTTTTCAATAAAAGATACTAAAAAAAAATCATGACCCAGTGACAGACAGCTTTACTTTGTTTTGTCTTTTGATTACTAGGTCAGTAACTAGCACATATTAGGAGATGAGATCTGCTTGATGCACCTCAAACCAGACAACACATAGACAGGTGAAACTAATTAGTAGGGAAAATGCTCTCTGGACATTTGAAATCTGTATAGCCATCTGTCCAACCATTAACACTTTAAGGGATTTCACTAGAACAGGTATGTCTAATGGTTCCCAACTTTTTCCAGATGGGGACTCATTTTGACAATTCAGGAAGACTTGGTGACCCAAGGAAATTCAAAAACGGGGAGGAGAGGAGGCAGAGCCTCCTAAGGAGACACTTGGTGACCCTTTTGAAATGTAATGGAAGCCCATATTTGGGTCCCAACCCATAGGTTGGGAAACCCTGCTGGAAGAGAATTAAGAAGAAATTTGCACAACAGGTTGTCAGCCGACGGTCAGGGCAGTGAGTCCCTCATGACCGGCTGAAGTTCTTTTAAATTATGCTTGGTTCTGTTACAGCAACTGAAGGAGTCAGGTTAAAGCTTAAACAGTTACTATTTTATTGTTACAGGGTAAACTTAGCTGTTAAATGCTACTACTGTGTTACAGATAACACAGACACTACAAAGGACAGGACAGAAATTACACTAATAAGTCACTTACAGGTACCATGAAACCCTTTGGTTCTCTGAGCTCTTATTAAATGCATGCAAAATAGACACATAGCAGGTATATATATTCACCCCTGCATTCCAGACTTGGCGTGGCCAGCGTCTTTCTCTCAATCCCTCGGGTCCCTCGGGAAGAAGTAGGGCGAGGTTGGGTGTCCCACAGACCTCGGGAATCAATCAATACCTGCCAGCAGGTATAGATGATTGGAGCTCAAATGGGGTGGGCGGCTGAACCTCTTTTTATACCCCTTGGGTCATGTAGGCTTCTTCCTGGTTTCAAGTGGCCAATTAGGAAAAATGGCTTTGAATGCCAAGTTTCCCACGAAGGGTGCAAAGCATAATTTACACCTGGGAAAATGCAGACAATGGGCACCTCTGGTATGTGATGGGCGAAGATTCCTCTCCTGGGACAGTGCAGACGTGTCAATTACTGGTACTAGCCATCAGGGCGACGGGAGGCCCCGGGTCGTCAGCTGGCCCATTTACTGTCTGGTTTCTGTTTATGGTAGAGTCAGGGACAGGCAGCAAACCTGTGTTCCCAGGGCATCAAAGGCTGACTGCCTTTCTCTTGCTCTCTGGGGGGAGGAGGGGGGAAACAAGATGGGGCTCGTGGAAAAACAAGATGGGGTTTTTGTGTCTGGCTACACAGGTCCTCAAAATTATTTCCCAATCAATCAGTATCACTACCATCTTGTTTTATAATGAAAAGATGTTCCCTGAGCCCTGATCCATGATTTTAAAACTGGTGATTCATAACATAGCAAAAATGATTTTTCCCTTGAGCATTTTGATGTTGGGCTTGGGTTTTGTTTTGTTTTAGAGCTCAAAATATTGCCATTGTGTAGATTTCCAAAGAAAGTGTTAAATGGTGCAGCACAAAACAATATTTTATCCTGTTGATTTTAATTTGGAAACAGTAAAAAAAAAAGTTAAGTACTTCAGAATACAATCACCCAGATTCCTGTATATTGCTTACTAGAAATGTGCAGTGTAAAAATTTAAGTCAACCAACATTGCCCAAAGCAGGAGACAGGATCAAAAGAACTTTCACACTTCTTCAGATGTTGTGCCCATGAAAACTCATTATACCATCTACGTTTTTTGTTAGTCTTTAAGGTACTGCAAGACTATTCATTGTTTTTTTATATTACAAACTAACAGGGCTGCCCCTCTGAAACTTTCAAAAAGGGCTAACAAGTTGTCTCCAACTCCAGTGCCACTTCCAGGAGAGGAGCAATATAGCCATGAATTGCTAATGTACCCCAACCACTTTTTGTCCTGTTAATGTGGATACTTACATTTGGTTTTTTTTATAAGCCTCCCATCCCCCGCCTTTTAGGCATGACACAATTGCAGCAGCATGTTTCCATTAATGATATTAATATTCAGAGGGGTAGCTAAGTTAGTCTGCAACAGGAAAAACTTAAAAAACAACAAATAGACTAGTAGCATCTTAAAGACTAACAAAACATGTACAGCCTCCCCCCCCGCCGAGTTACAAACGAGTTACAGACCAAACACTTGGCCGTAACTCAGTTTGTTCATAACTTGGACCCCATTGAGTTACATAGCAACCGCGCTGTTCATAAGCAGGGGTCTCGTTCGTAACTCAGGGACCGCCTTTACAACCGCTCCATGGGAGTTTTGCTCATAAATGCGAACAGTCGTAACTCGACCGTTCACAACTCAGGGACCGGCTGTAGATACCATCTACATGTTTTGTTAGTCTTTAAGGTGATATTAATATTTGTTAGGGGAACAATGTTTTCTTTACATTTGATTACTTTGTGACCTGGGGGCCCCAAGATGCAAAGCTCCAGACTAGCAGAGAATCCCAAGGACTGGCGGTCTCCTCAGACAAGCACAAAGGCCCAGATCCTCAAAGCCTAAATAGCTTTGAGAATGTGGGTGGGGGCAATGAGGAAATCTCAAACAGCGATTCTGTGAGCCAATCCACAAAATACAAATTCTTCTATCAGCAGAGGAAATGAAGCACATTTACATGGGATGGGGTTCCCACATCTCCCAAGTCAGAGGTCAGAAACCATGGGCATAGCACACCTTAGTTCAGGGCAGTACACTATTTGGTGTCCCATCGTGCGTAAGTGCTGGAATTAGGGATGCAGGGGTTGCTGCAGCCTGCAAGCACCCCCTGGCTTGAAGTGGTTTTTCTTATATATGCAAATTTAGAGTTGGGTTCAGTGGCTCTCAAGCACCCTCACTATACAAGTTGCTCCAGTCCTTTCCTCCCCCTCCCCACTATACCCCTAACCTAGGGGACTAAAAGCAGCCGCTTCTATTGGGTGTCCGTGGAGAGCCGCTATGGGAAGGCCCGGGTGCAGTTGCACGTGCATGCTCGCCCGGTTCCCCACGCTAGCTAGCGCCTAGGCAGCGGCAGTGGGAGGGCCACAACGCTTAGTGCTGCCCCGGAGGCAGCGGGCGGAGCTCTTCTCCGACCCGGCGGAACGTAAGTGAAGGCAGCGCGCGTGGCCGGGGGAGGAGCCGCAGCATGGCGCCCCCGGCCTCGGCCGCCAGCCCCCGGGTCTTCTTCGATGTGGACATCGGGGGCGAACGAGGTGGGTGCGGGCAGGGCGGGGCGGAAGGAACGTTGGCCCCGGGCAGGGTAGCGGGGAGGG